TACTCCCATTATTTAAAAGAGTTTATGTTTTACGCGCTTGCGTTTTATGGTATAAGTTATACTTGTACCATCAAATCACTTAAAAATAATTACAAGTAATCATATTTAACAAGCATTGATCGGTAATATATAAAAATAATAATTTTTATATTAAATTATACATATGATATAAATTTTGTTACACTATCAATTCATAATAACTAAGATTGAAGTTATATATATATATATAAATAGCGTAAAGAATTTTTACCCTATCAGTAATTAATTTTAATTGACTAGGTTTATTATTACTTTATTTTTAGATTTAAATTATATACATATCACCTTTACTTGTTGTAGCATGTAATACGTTTTATTTTCAATATTACACGTATCATAATTTAAGGAAACTTACCTATACATATTTTTTGGATAATCTGATAATGTAAATGATTATTTATACTGGCGATACATATAATTTAAAGACTATTTTTAAGACTACCATATTAAGCATGTTATGAAAAATTACCTTTGATTATACGTCAAATAATAATGGTGTAAAAATTATGTATACTATTAATTGCATAACTCAGATATGCTCTTAGAAAGCTATATTTCTCTAGTCACAACTTGGAATATACTATAGTCACACTTGGAATCTTATCAAGCTTCTCTACAAATTAATGTTTAGTTAGGTATATTAATTATGTCTGGTTTAATTACTTAGATAGAAAGAATGAATTCATTAATCAAACAAAATTTTAATTAGGCATATATTACTTGATCGATACCCTTTGTTTTCTATAGCATAAATTCAAATTATTTATGGACTTGGAATTACACTGGTCTAGACTGTGCCTTTGAAAACCATATATAATAAGGTGAGTTGGTGCCTTTTCAATTAGCTTTTCCATCTAATATATTTTTTGTTATTAGGCCTGCAAATTAAAAAGATTTTAATTAGATGCGACAAAAATAATTAGAATACACATATTATCGTCCTTCAATTTGTGGTCAAAGTGCTAACCTAATCTTTCACTGAACTTTTAAACTATATCAAGTTCATTGTGTGGTGTAAATTGTATTGGCTTTAATAAAGAATGAATAAAGTACTATTTAATATACTAATCAAGAGAGCTAATACTGACGTTAATTTATTACATATAATAATATGTCCGGAGATAGTGAACAATTTCTAGATTGATGAGTTCTAGCCATATTTTATCGGAAAAACTACACGGTAACTGCTCCAAAAAATAATAGCCGGCAAAATGCNTGTGTAACTTACCCTTTATATTAAGGATGTTACCCAAATAACCGATCAGATTCTATGTTTATTTTTTCTAGCCGGTATACATAAATTATTTATTGATTATACATAGTTATACATATATATTATACATAAATATAGCTGTCGAATATGTGTATATATTCGACAGCTATATTTAATTTAAGAAATTAGGTGAGCGACTATTTGAGTTAATTCTTCTTTTTTATTTAGTACATGCATGCACAAAGTGGGAACCTCAAAAATATGGAAATAAGCATAAAAGAATACAGGCCCAAGTAAAAAGAGCTACCAGAGAAAAGACAGATTAAGACCAGGCCCAACTATTGAACATGTTAAATGGGCTCACTGCGGAGAACAACTGTCTCAATGGTAAGCCCAGGCCCAAATTATAAAAACGACTCCAAAGCACAGCCCATCTCCAAAAGTTTTCAGCCCATCTTTGGCAGATTTCTTTCTAATCTCATCCAATATGAAGGGGCATTTGCAGTCGTACCCTATATTTATGTCACCTTTTAACCTGTACCTTATTTTTTAAAATTATTGATTTGGTAGACAGCTGACAAAAAATTCGTAATAATATGATAATTACACCCCTGACAAAAGATTAATCGCGTGATCTGCAACCTCATTCGTGAAAAAAGATCTCCTCCTCTCCTCTCACCAGCTTTATCAAAAAAAATATAAACTTGTCCAGATTCATCTTCAGAATCACACTTGCATGAAGTTGTTTCACCTTGAAGCTAAAACTTCATGCTAATGTAACATGAAGTTGTTTCATGTTGAACCTAAAACTCCATGCTAATATAGCATGAAGTTGTTTCACACTGAAGCTAAAACTCCATGCCACTGCATGCTAAAGTTATTTATCCTGCAGTCTACAGTTTTATCATGAGTTTTATCCGAAACTTCAGTCTAAACATGCTGAAGTTATTTAGTTCATTTGCTAAAACTTCAGTTTAAACATGCTGAAGTTATTTAGTTCATTTGCGAAAACTTCATACTAAGCATGCTTAAGCTTTTTAGTTCATTTGCTAAAATTTCAGACTAAACATGCTTAAGTTTTTGTCTTGCAGTTTGTAATTTTCTAATGAGTTTTTGCTAATGCATGCTGAAGTTATTTAAGTTCATTTGCTAAAATTTCAGACTAAACATGCTTAAATATTTAGTTCATTTGCTAAAACTTCATATTAAACATGCTTAAGTTTTTTAATTCATTTGCTAAAACTTCACACTAAACATGCTTAAGTTATTTATTTTATTTGCTAAAATTTCAGACTAAACATGCTTAAGTTATTTAGTTCATTTGCTAAAACTTCACACTAAACATGCATAAGTTGTTGTCTTGCATCATGTAATTTTCTAATAAATTTTTGTTAATACTTGCTGAAGTTATTTAGTTCATTTGCTAAAATTTCACACCAAAACATGCTGAAGTTTTGTCCTGCAGTCTACAGTTTTGTCATGAGTTTTATCCGAAACTTCAGTCTAAACAAACTGAAGTTTTTTAGTTCATTTGCTAAAATTTCACACCAAAACATGCTGAAGTTTTGTCCTGCAGTCTACAGTTTTGTCATGAGTTTTATCCGAAACTTCAGTCTAAACAAACTGAAGTTTTTTAGTTCATTTGCTAAAATTTCAGGCTAAACATGCTTAAGTTTTTGTCTTGCAGTATCTAATTTTCTAAATGAGTTTTTTCTAATGCATGCTGAAGTTATTTAGTTCATTCGCTAAAATTTCATACCAAACACATGCTGAAGTTTTGTCCTGCAGTCTACAGTTTTGTCAATAGTCCTGAAGGGCAAAATCGTCTTTTTAAAATGCTTTTAACAAAGGGTACGGATGCAAATGGAAAAACAAAACGGGTATAAGTTAAAAAAGGGGCGACCAAATAGGGCGCTCCATGCAATTTTTACGAATATGAATAGGGTTGTCAAATTTGGTCCAAACCCAAATGATCCGCCCAACCCGTCCAAGGTTGGGCTAGTTATTGACCCGCTCATTTGTTAACGGAGCTTATCTTGACCCTACCCATCTCAACTCATTTAAAGTTGGGCTGCTTTTTAATCCAAATTGATCCATGAGTAACTTTGCCAAAATATCTTAGAAATAAGTTTTTTGGTTTGATATATATATGACCATAACAAAAGGAAAAAAAATCTTATTTAGTAATTATACAATTCATAAGAAAGAACACATATTAAGTAAAAGCTTGATAAGAGTTGGGTGGGTTAGACTATGACCTAAATTTTAGTCCATCTTGACCGAGCTCATTTTACTCCAAATAACTTTTGGGTAGGTATATATTGTAACTATTTTTTAAATGGGTAGGAAAGCGTAATTATTTTAAGCTCAATGAGTATTTTGCATAAATTGCTCTATGATTTTTCCTATTTGTGAGCGACGATTGTTTGCACGAGTTGGCGATTGATATACACAAACATATATTATACATTTATTAATTTTTTTACAAAAATGTTTTTCGACGGACATTTATTTATAAGTAAATCTAGAATAAATGAGAAATAATCTATTATAATAAGTTATTTTATGTGGATTATTATAAAAATTATGTTATCTTATCGGCGTATATAACTTAAAGCATATACACATATCGAATTTAACTTAAGTCATATTAACATAAAGAATTTAACTTATATATATATATATATATATATATATATATATATATATATATATATATATATATATATATATATATATATATATAGAGAGAGAGAGAGAGAGA